TTATTCCATTCTCCTTCATTTTTCCACAATTGTACCTTTCTACATTTGCAATGGCAGAAGTGCACACTGTCCCTCTACAAAGAAATCTGATTACTGAGAGACTTGTTTAGATCTCAAGTGTTCTCATTATCAGATTAACACTTGTAAATGTGTTAATCTAATTAGCGCCAAAATCTTTTCTGCAGTTATTGGATTACTATGTGCATATAAACTTACTCACTGAGGTGCCAGTTCATTAGGAACACACTTATCTGCACTTATTGGTCGTTTTATCAGATACACTGACCATATAGGTGTGATCTGTAGGTTTGCAATTAGTTGTGGCACAATTTGGCTGCATTTACATTATCAGGTTGAAGTGGCACAAATCTGATTTTTTGCCCTAATGTGACTCACATCTGATGTTTTCAGGGCTTTGTGGACACACACATCTGATCTTTTCAAATCCGACCTGAGCCACTTTCATATGTGGTCCTAGATCGGATACGTATCTGATTCGTGGCCATTCGACCTTAATGGGACGCTCAGATCAGAATTCATGTGCTTTTTTGTCCACTGGGCCATCATTCAGCGTTACCATGGCAGCAGCGCCGAACAGAAGTTAAAGCCTGTAAACGGTGGAAAAGCAGCTCATCTCACCTTTTTCTCCTTCGTCTCGCTCTAATAATGAAGCTGAGAGCTGATCAGAGTTAATTATCTTCTCAGCGAAGCTCGTTCTGCTCGTTAGTTTGTGCTGATGATGAACGTGATTCATTCACGTGACGTTACTGAGTAGGATGAGCTCATGAAGGTCATTTCAGGACGCCGGTTCATCACATTAATGACAGATTTGAATCACTTACCTAAACGAGTGCGAACCATCATGTCAGAGAGATCGGATTTGAGCAAGAAATCGGATTTGAGCAACGAGGCTTGGAATGTGAACGTAGCCTTTGTCAGCCGTCCTCAACATTAACAGAAAACGACCACCACTGACCAGCTATTATTCGGGTAATGGATCATTCTCAGCACAGCATCGAAACAAGATGGTGTGCAATTTGCAACTGTGTAGTCTCACAAAGGTCTGCCTGTTTTCAGAGAGTCCAGCGTGTTTCGTCCGTTAACATGGCCAACAGCCGCCAACTTTAACAGGAAAGGGCCGTTTGACTGACATGCAAAACACAGACTGCTGTTATTGTGTGCGACTATATGATGCCATGTAAGGCCCGCTCACGGTGTTCAGAGCAGGCAAAGATCTGTGAACGTTTGGATCTGACGAAGGAGAAATCGGCTTCTTATTCAATATTCCTTTCCACCTTAAATGGTGCAGCAGTTACATTCAGGCAAAAAAAATTCACACAAAAAGCTGCCGAAGCCAAATTTTTGATGGAAGCAACATTCAGCACTGGTTTGGCTGGGCCTGTTGCGCTAAAGTTAGAAAGCAATATTTACATAGGTTTACCTATATAATGTTCCATTTTATTTTTTTGTTTAGCACAATAAAAATGTTTGTGTAAAATGTGAAATGACATCCCAGAATAATAAGCCACTATTAACCTATAAAAATAGTTTTACTTAAGCATCTAAAATGGTGTTATTTGAAAATATATATTTGCACCTTGATGTACATCGAAACCACCAGAAACTGTACTTAAACTGTGATAAAACATGCTGCATGGCTGTTTCATGCGCAATAGATTACTAGCTGAGACTAGTGATTGCAAGGCACCTATAGAAAGTGTACCTATTAAAATGACTAATGAATGGCCCAAGGTAGGTGTACCGAATGAACTGGCGACTCAGTGCAAGTAGAACAGAGAATCACTGGGACTGCAGAGGAAAAAAGGAAATAAAGCCATTAAAAGACTTTTTCTGAAGAGGAATGAAGTCATAAAACTGTCCAGAACCTTCTGTTATGTGAACATCCCAAACAAAAGGTAACGTCCATGTTTTCGAAGGCTGCTGAACCCGAGCCAAAAACATCGGACCAGAAGCAAACGAGGGCAGTGAAAGTGGGCGTTAAGTAGGTGCCCGCGGATGTGCTTGGCAGAGTCGTCTCTCACTACTTAGCAGGCTGACAGATAAACAACTCCCCGCTGGGCAGGGTCAGTGGGGGAATGTGGCTGCTTCCTTTTGTTGTTCACTTGTTTCGCTATCTGTTATCCTCTCTTTCGAACTGCTGAATGAAGGCTTTGAGCTTCGATGGTCTTCTCAGGTTCTGTGAGCATTATCTAAGCCTGAATAAGGTTCCTCTCTGCCTCACTGCGCAGTAATAGTCACAGGGCTCTACCAGTGAGATCCATTAGCTAGCACTTAGAGCGCTGTTTTTCACAGGACCGTATTACGTTCCTAGATAATAAGTTACAGTTAACGGATAATAAGCTACGGTTACACTACTGACTGTAAGTTACAGATGTAGCACTGAATACAGTTTACAGTGCTGTCATTGATTTACACTACTGACAATAAGTTAGAGTACTGACAATAAGTTCCAGTCACACTACTGACTGTAACTTACTGGATACACATTACAGTACTGATATGTTAGAGTTACACTACCGATCGTAAGTTACAGTTATGGTACTGGATACAGGTTACAGCACTGACAGTAAGTTAGAGTACTGATAAGTTATAGTCACACTACTGAATGTAACTTACAGTTAAAGTACTGGATACAGGTTATAGTTCTGACAATTAGAGTACCGATAGTGAGATACAGTTGCGCTACTGATTGTAGATTGCAGTTATAGTACTGGGTACAGGTTACAGTTCTGACAATAATTTAGAGTACTGACAATACATTATGGTTACACTACTGACTGTAACTTACTGGATACACATTACAGTACTAATACATTAGAGTTACACTACTGATTGTAAGTTACAGTTATGGTACTGGATACAGGTTACAGTTCTGACAATAAGTTAGAGTACTGATAATAAGTTATAGTCACACTCCTGACTGTAAGTTACAGTTACAGTACTGAATACAGGTTACAGTACTGACAAAAAGTACTAATAGTAGTACTAAATTACCATTAGTACTAAAGAGTACTAATAATAAGCTGCAGTCACACTACTGATTGTAAGTTATAGTACTGGATACAGTTTACAGTTCTGACAACAACATTCCTAGACAATAAGTTACAGTTAACTGATAATAAGCTACAGTTACACTACTGACTGTAAGTTAAGTAATTTAGAGTACTGACAATGAGTTACAGTCACACTACTTACAGTACTGACAGTATGAAAGAGTACTGATAATAAGTCACAGTTACATTATTGACTGTAAGTCACAGTTATAGCACCGGTTATAGGTTGCAGTACTGACAAGCTATGGTCACACTATTCACTAAGTTACAGGTATAGTCCAGGTTACAGGTTACAGTTCTGATTGTTAGTTAAAGTACTGACAAGTTGAATAATTTAAAGTACTAAAATAAGCTATGATTAGACTACTGATGGTAAGTTACTGTTACAGCACTAGATAAAGGTTACGGCACTGACAATAAGTTAGAGTACTGATAATAAGTTGCAGTCACACTACTACTGTAAGTTACAGTTGTAGTACTAGATATAGGTTACAGAACTAACAGTAAGTTAGAGGCCTGATAATAAGTTATGGTTACACTACTGACTGTAAGCTACCGATATAGTACTGGATACAGGTTACAGTACTGACTATAAGTTACAGTTACAGTACTGAGTACAGGTTTCGACACTGAGTGCAGCTTAGAGTACTGATTATGCATTATGGCTATAATACTGACTATACATTATAGTGACAGTACTGATTACAGGTTACACAACTGACCAGCGGTTACAGTACTAACTACAGTTTTGAAAACTTACTGTACATTATAGGTACAACACCAACTACAGGTTACAGTACTGACTGCAGGTTACATAACTGACTAAAGTTTACAGAACAATACTGGTTGTAAGGTACAGTTAGAGTACTGAATACAGGCTACAGCATTAACTAGAGTACTGATCACTGACTGTAGATTACAGGTGCAATACCATGTACAGGTTACAGTACTGACTACATGTTACACAACTCACTAGAACATAGTACAATACTGGCTGTAAGATACAGTTACAGTAATGAACAGAGGTTACCATACTAACTACAGCAAATTACTCTAAATCACAGGTACAATACCAACTACAGGTTACAGCACTGACTACAGGTTACAGTACTGACTACATGTTACACAACTGACTCGAATACACAGTACAATACTGGCTGTAAGATACAGTTACAATACTCAACAGAGGTTACCATACTAACTACAGCTGATTGCTGTAAATTACAGGTACAATACCAACTAAAGGTTACACAACTGACTAAAGTTAACAGAACAATACTGGTTGTAAGGTACAGTTACAGTACTGAATACAGGCTACAGTACTGACAAATGACTATAGATTACAAGTGCAATACCATGTACAGGTTACAGTATTGACTACAGGTTACACAACTGACTAGAATATACAGTACAATACTGGCTGTAAGATACAGTTACAGTATTGAACAGAGGTTACCATACTAACTACAGCAAATTACTCTAAATCACAGGTACAATAACAACTACAGGTTACAGTACTGACTACAGGTTACACTACTGACTACAGATTACACAACTGACTAGAATATACGGTACAATACTGACTGTAAGACACAGTTACAGTACTGAACAGAGGTTACCCTACTAACTACAGCTGATTACTGTAAATCACAGGTACAGTACCAACTACAGGTTACAGTACTGACTACAGGTTACAGTACTGACACAATGCTAACAGTGCATGAAAGTAGCACACCATCACAACATCAATACATTCCATTCTTGGCAAATGGCGCTGAAATCTTACACCACACCCCATTTTCAGGTTCTGACGTGGGCAAAACTGGCCGTGATGGTGATCCCTTTCCACCGATTCAGAAAGCACACGGGACACACCTGCTTCTGCGTGTGATACACGTCTTTCAAACAGCACGACGCGGGCCTTAC